TAATGAAAGGAATAAACAAAGATGTTACTAGCTAAACAATATATATATATACATATATATATATATATTCTTGTACATGTTATATTACCAGAACTCCTATCAGATTCTTAGACTGAGCAAATGAAGGCTAAGAAACTTTCTGAGGAGGGTTTGTAGTTAAGCTTGTAAGATGATACCATCTGGCTATATGTAAGGTAATGATATTCCAGGCTTTTTGATAGTAAAATAATCTCAAATAACAAGGAATTCTATCGATGCAGGACATTTAGGGCAGAATTTTTTTGTGTGATGAATTGTCTTCTAAAGCATTGTACTTCTACAAGTTGTTTGGTTTTTTCCATAAGAAGAAGATATATTTTACTAAAACTGCTAAATTAAGGGGCAGATGTGCATCCAGCATTTTGCTGCATAAAAAGGGAGATTACAGAATGGGAAGGAGAGGGGAAAATGAGGCAGGAATGATAAAGGACCGTGTAGCAGAGAAGGAAAAGGATGGGGAAATGCCTAATGCCATGTTAAGAGAGAGGCTGAAAGAATGGATGGTGGCTTGGACCCCCATCCCAAATTGGCAGAAGGCAAAAGTTGGATGTGGCCTGAAAAAGGAACCTCTGAAGCCCAGCACTGAATCTGAGCCAGTGTGTTTCTGAAAGGATTTTAGTTTATAAACATTTCTTTTGATTCCAAATTCCAAAAAGGATGAAGTGGCTAGAGGATGATTATGGAGGATAATAATTTTAGTTTCTTGCATATGAAACATTAGGAGAGAAAAAAAAAACCCAAACCCTTACTCAAGAAAAAAAGCAAAATTTCTGCTTAGCAATGAAATTTTTATTCACCCAAAAATATTTTAAACTGACATTTTGCTTCATTTTGTTTCCTTGGTAATGTCAGAATCACTAAGTGAATTTCCAAATATATCCCATTCCATCTCGAGTGGAATTTTAATAATTTTAATATGGAAAAATGTATAGGTAAAACTTTTCCAACCAGTTCTAGTTGTAGCTTGTTTCCAGACTACAGGCATATTTTAGCAGAATCTTCTCAGGTGCCAAGAACAGGAGGATCCCTGATCTTTGGGCAAAAACACTTGTCTTGTTTTGGCTGGTCAAAAGAAGAGATCAGGAAAAAAAAGAAGTAATTTCCCCCCAGATTCATAACTTTTTTTTTTTTTTTTTTTTTTGGTTTGTTTGAAATCACATCTTTGACTCCCATAGCATATGTTCTTGCAAGTGTTTCTTGGCACTCCTGAAGGGCAGATCTGTTCCTTACGTGCTCGCTGCCTTAATTTTTCTGGGGAATTAATTTTGTCCTGGATGTGTGTGCAGAATTCCTGTGACAGCCATAAATTGTCTTTAATATCATTGTATACATAGAGCTCCTGTATTAGCAAGTTTTGCTACCTGCCCACCAGCAAAGCCATATGCTGGCATCAGATGTTAATTGGCTATCAGTTGGGTATTTAGTCCTACTCATCTGCTAAATGAGTGTGAGGAACTTGCAACCAAACTTAATGGAATGTGCTCTCCAGTGCTGGGAAGCTGCCATAGATTTGTTCCAGCAGGAGCACAACACGAAACGAGTCGGGAATTTCTTTCACCATTGCAGGCTCCTTAAAATTCTTGTTTGTTTTCCAGTGTAGATTAAAAAATAATCTAGAACCACTCAGGTTGGAGGGGAGTTGAGTCCAGCCTCCTCTTCAAAGCAGGGCTGGTTAGAGAGGAGGCTGCTCAGAACCTTGTCCAGTTCCATTTTGAGTGTCTTCAAGGGTGGACACCTCCCAGCTGCTCTGGGCACATGTTCTGCTCTTTCACCATCCTCCATCCTTTCCTTGTACCGTGTTCCCACTTGTGTTTGTTGCCATTTTTGCACCTCTGAGAAGAGCTGGGCCTTCTCTTTCTCCTGAGCTCGGGCAGTTGCAGACAGAGCAGGGTCTGCCCTCCACCTTCTCTGGACTGAGCAGACTCAGGTCTCAGCCTCTCCCCGTATTCCACGTTCCCCAGCCATCCTGACAGTTCTCTGCTGGACTTGCCTCAGTTTGCAGCAGTTTTTCTGCCACTGAAGACCCCCACACTCCAGAGGGGGTCTCACAAATGCTTGATGGAGGAGAAAGAACACTCCCTTTGCCCACTTGGTGCACTTTGTTTCGCTGTTAACTCACACAGGCCAGGCTGTGGTTTGGCTGCCTTTGCCCCCAAAAACACACTGCAGAGTCTTCTTGGATGAAGCTACTCCATCCTAAGTGCAGGTGTGGGAATAAACTCATCAACCTGAAAGTGTTTGAACAATCTGTGATCAAGATTGGCATAAAAAAAATGGAGAAGTTGTTCTAAAGGTATGGACTTGTGTCCAAACACGGCCATCCAGCAGCTATTAGGACATGTGCTCTTGGGGATGTCTTGGTTGTAACCAAGGACCAAGCCAAGGCTACAAACTGTGCAGTGGTCTGTGCCTAGGGATGGAAAAGTAGGGATTTGTGTTGGAAGGATCACAATGGAATGAGAAAATACAGAGAAATTAATAATGTATGGAAAGGAAGGAACCTTAAGAAGTTGTAGGTCAGAAGGAGGAAGGAGTTGGTGCTTTAAGGTGGTTTTAAGGTGGATGTTGGTCAGATAGTGCTGGTGTTTGGAGGATCTTATTGCCATAAAAGACACTTGGAATGTTCATGTCTCAGGACCTTGCTGACCCACCACCTTAGAGTGTGGTGTTGGTCCCCCTGAGGACTGTGCTTTATTGCAAAGAGATGTTCAGCACTCTGGAGGGAACATTGGTAAGTGTGGATCACACAGGAAGCAGGGAAGGTGGGAAATGTGTCACCAATATCGTGGTCTGATAGCTGAGGGTCTTCATCTGCAGATGCTTTTACGCTAACACTTCATGGCAGCAGTGCCCAGCCAAGAACAGGGTTTCAAAGATTTATACTAAGGCTGACTTTGTGCTTCAAGAGCACTTGGAGTAAAAAGCAAAGCTTTTTGTTCTAAAGTCTTCTGAGGAAAAAGGTTTGAACAAAATATTGTTAAATTTATGAGCAAGCAGCAAAAAAACACCCTGTGAGTGAATAAAAAAATAAGATTTAAAGGGCGAAGAGGAATAGCTGAGGAGATGAAGAGAGGGAAATAGTTTTACCGTGGCCTGGTGTGGAGTGAAAGAAAGACAACCAGCTGAGCTGCAAACTCATCAAAAAACACAGTTGTTAATTGAAAATCTGACAGACCTGTAACCACAGCAGCACTTCTGGCCGCCACTATAATAAATGTAACTGTACATTTAGAGTAATTTGCTAATTTGCCTAAGTAACACCCACAGACAGCAACATGACATAAATACATTAGTGGAAGCAACAACTATAACCAGCTCGTACAGGTTCTTGGCTGCTGGATGGATGGATCAGATGAGCTGGAAAAGATTTACAAAACAGAACAGAAATGGAATTGTTAGCAGTATCGTGGCATACAGGGTTTCTTTCTTTTCCTGTTTCCCAAGAGTTCTTTAAGGCCTGTAGGTGCCCATACATATGGCAGCATTTTTAACTTGTGTGTGCATGTGTGCACAGACCTGGAAAGCTTGTGGGGGTGGAGGGCACATCTGCAAAAGACTGTTTAAAAAAAAAAAAGAGGGAAAGTCCTTCAGGTAAATGATTGAATCTTCAACATTTAAATAAATACATGGAAAGAGTTTCTGTTAAATATTCTGAAGGCACATATGTCTTGAGACCATAGGAAAAACTGGAATCTCTACAATCAGTTTTCCTGTTACAGGTGTTACAAGTGTCTGAAACTTGCACTTAAAGAATTACCCACATCTTTTTGTCTGGCAAAGTTCAGCACTGTGACCTCTGTTTCCCTGACTCTGAATCACACTGTTGCATTTTATCCTCAAATCCTATCATGCCAACTTTTGCCACAGCTAAAGATTTCTATGTTATCAACAAGACACTCTCAGTATTAAAAAACCCACAAGATTGCTGCTGTGCAAGGCAGGTTTGATTTTCAATAAAATACTTCTTTTCTGGTCCCAGTCTCCTCTTCTGACTGCCTTCAAATTAACAGTGCAGAAACAAAGCTAATGAATGCAGCTTTACACAGTTTCTTGTCTTTGTTTCCCCTCAGATGTACTGAAAGGTTTCTGTTGAGCTTTTTGAGGCAGGTGATGCCGACTCCCAGGGGCGGATTCTGGGGAATAACCAAGCGCAGAGTCAGGTGGAAAGTTTCTCTTTGGGTGCTGCTCCCAGGAAGAACCCACGTGTGTGGGCACACATATCCCTGCCTTCAGCAGGAGGTTGTGCTGAGGTTTTTCACTAAATACGGGTTGTAAAATATTCTTGAACATGAGTCACTTTAAATTATAGTCCGTGCAGCCGAGGAAGTCACTGAGAAAATGGAGCAGGAAAAAAAAACCCCACGGGACAGAGGCAGACTGTGAGATTTCTCTGTGGGATGTGGGTTTTTTGACAGCTAAACCAAATCCCTGCCTTCCTTGAAGGCTTGATAATAATGTCAGGGCAAAGAGGGCAGCAGACCCCTCTGGCTGACCCGAGCTGTGAGGGTGTGAGAGCTCTTCAGTACAAGCTGACAAAGACCTGAGCTCTAGGGAGAAGGGAGCTGACGTGATTTTCCGAAGCCGATCTTCTTTGAACCCTAATTTCTGTCAAAGAGTTATCATCACTGTCACAGTAAATGATACTTGCAGCACAAATGGCAATTAACTAGAAGTAAATAGTAGAGCAGAAGTCTGCAGACTGGTTTTTAAGGTTGATGAGTTGAAAGTAATTTCAACACATTAATGCTAAGCATGCTAAATCATAGTGTGCCATGGAAGAGGCAGTAATGTCATTTACCTGGAATCACCAGGAATTACAATAACGTGGAGGAGGGACGTGCTCTATCGTTTCGAGTATGTGAGCATATTACAGGAATCAATAACAGTTTGTCTTGTCTGTTTTCTTCCACCAGATCTTCCATGAAACAAGTAACTTGTTTGTTTTTCGCTGTTTTAGGTAGCCTGCCCTATGAATACAAGATTGTGATAGCAGGAAATCATGAGTTGACCTTTGACCAGGAGTTCATGGCTGACTTAATCAAGCAGGACTTTTACTATTTCCCCTCTGTTTCTAAGCTGAAGCCAGAGAGCTATGAAAATGTACAGTCTCTTCTAACAAACTGCATCTATCTTCAAGACTCTGAAGTGACGGTGAGGGGATTCAGAATATATGGCTCCCCTTGGTAAGCAGGTTTTTAAGCATACCTAAAAATACTGTTGTCGATTGCTGTCACATCAGGCCATTTTGTTTGCATCAGCTGTATTTGGATTGCTGCGTTAGGAAGAAAAGTAACACCCAGTTTGATAAAGTTTGTGTATTTTCTCCTAATGAATCATTCCTGTGACAAAATAATGTGCTTTACTGTGGGTATTGTTAACCAAATAATGATGGGGGAAAGATAAGTGTGCTCTTCAAACTCTCAGCCAGGAGCAGAGAGTCTGGGGGCTCTTTGTGTTGTAAAATATGTTTTCTATCCGTGGTGAGTTTATCTAATTACAGGTTACTTTTTATTGCCAGGGTACATTCTTTTGGCAATTTCCATCCTACAGGTAATATTGGATAGATGATTAGCAGATCACAGATAATTGACAGATAATATTTAAAGTTAATTTACAGACAGTATTTAAGGTTCATTAGTGTGTAAAATAGCCATTTAACTTATGTGGGGTATTTAGCATTTGGGATTTTTTTTAAATATCCCTCAGAATCTTACTTTCCTTTATACAGTAACAGCTTTTCCCAAGGTATAGTTGAGCTTCTAAAGTCAAAAAATCAGTGTATTGCATGGGTTTTGCTCTACTGCACAGTGAACACTTCGAACTTCTTGACAGTATCAGGGGCACGTGGATTTTGGCTTCCTGACTTCCACCTTGGACCTTGTATGTGCTGCTTCTGTGTCTCTTCCTAATGATACATTACTTTGTGTTGTTTCTGCTAAGAGGACTGTAAATTGGGTCTTTTTTGAGCACTTGGTATATGTTTAAAATAAGTCAAACTGCATTTTAAAAGGCAGGTTTTGAAGGGAATCTGTTATTCTTCCTTTTAAAATCACATCAGGCTGAAATGTAGCAAACAAGTTGTCAAACCTGATGCACGTACCCCAATGTGAAGTTTCAGTGTGAATAAACTGTGAAATCTCTTGGATATTTTTTTTTTTTAAATGAAAATTGGCGTTTTCCCATTTGGTTACTCGAGATGGGTGTTAATTTTCTCTGAGCTTATCATTCTACATGAAATAGTTTCCCTCTTAAGTGCACCCTTCTCTCTCTCCCTCTCAGAACTCCAGATCTTTTTTTTTTTTGGTTTTTCTTTTCAGCCTCCCCCACCTGCTGTGCTGTAGTTCATCTTCCCTTTGTGTCTCCCGTGTAAGCAGTCAATGTGCAGTTTGCTTCATTTTCCAAATTATTTGGGAAGATATTAGATGGTATCAGTCCCAATATTAACTTCTGAGAAATGCCACTTGGCATCTCTTCCCATTTTGATGTTCAACTCTAAATACTGTAATTATGCTCTGTTTACAATATGTCTGGCAACTTCATATCTTCATTGCAGTGCTCATAACCAAGGCACCATATTTCCAGTGTCAGGAATAATTTTCCAGGCACTAAAGTACCAAAAGTCTTATTAAAGTCTAGAGAAATTAAATTAAAGCAAAACACTATCTATAAAGCAGCACTAAGTAGAGGCTAAAGGGAGCCATTTGAACTTTCTGTGCATGATTAGATCTGCAAAAAAATCTGTTGAGAAAACTTTTGTCCACCCTCTAACCCATAAATAATGTTTCTGCAAAATCAGATCCGCCACATTCCCTTTGTGCACAAATCCTGTCACGCTGCACAAGTTTGTCTAAGCTATCTGGCATGACCTGTTCTTCAAGGAAAAAAAAAAAAAAAAAAAAGAGAGAAAAAAGGTTGCTTTCCATCTTTCATGCGACTTCAGGTTATATCTAAGTTTCCACACTACATGTTTCGCAGCGTTGCTAACTCATCTCCCACCCCCTTATGGTCCTGGGAGATGAGTGTTGCAAGGTCTTTTGAAGATATTTGCTTACTCCATATGGGAGAAAGTCTCGATGAAAGTCTTCCAGCCAAACTGGGAGATTTTTTTTTTTGCTTGCTGTTAGGCAATGCTGAATGAAGTTTCCATGCCAGCTGGTGACATGTCCAGTGGAAACATCAACACTGACAATAATAGCAGGAATAGGTGGCTTGTCATTAATCCATCAGAGCAGCAGATGCAGAGGTAACAAAGTCCCATCAGCCAACCCACCAGCCAGAAAACTTGGGAAGAGAAGCAGCTATTTTGTGTGGGTTAAACTAGCTGTCTGCTAGATTTCAGGCTGTAGTACACGCCTGTGCCTGCTGATCACTACTGTTCTTCAGCAGCTCTTTCTGTCTCTGTGCTTCATTCACCCTAAAAAGAGAGCTTTGTCACAGCCTCTCTGGGAAATCAGTTTCTTTCTACACCATAGTAATGTAAGCTCTAAAAAAAAAAACCACAGAAATTTGCTGAACTTGCCACGGTGATTGTTTTTTTTGCCCTTGCATTATGAAGCCAGTCCTTTAGAAAATGCTTATGGGCGTAGTGAAGACTTCCAAATTTAGAATTCTCTAAGATCTCAAAGTTAAATTCCAAGCAGTTGCTTGTCCAGTATCCTACAATAATTTTCTTGTCCTGCCTTTGAAAATACACACCTAGCTTTTTGAGTGGATTTGTTTAATTGAAGAACTCCAGATCCTCCCTTTCCATTTCTGGTTACAGTGCTCACCTTCTGTATCACTTCACCCTTTGTATAAATAATTAGAAGCTTGAGATTCATAAAACAGGTTAATCAGTAGTTGCAAAGGACTCTGAGAACACTGGAGCAGGGTCTGAGTGAATGCCAGCCAGCATTAACTTACTGTCTTTTGCCTGTAGCCATCTGCATTTTTATATATAACCTATCACACAAACACACACACATACATATATTTATAACCTATATACACATTAGATTGTACTAATGTATTAAAATGTTCATGGTTTAGTTGCAAATTAAACCACGAGAGCTCTACTGGTTTGCATAACATGCCAGTCCCTAAGGTCTTTTAAATATGTACCATTTGTGTGTGGTTAAATATTTTTAATAGCACTTGGGTATTTTGTCCTCTCTTATTATCTAAAACTCAGTGGTTATTCTTAATTGCATAGAAGAAATGGGGCACTGTTTTGTCTCAGAAACCAGTGCTCTGACTCTCCTGGGCTTCAGAGGCAAGATTTCAAGTGCCAGATCGAGCCTCTACTCACTCACAAAAAATTTCACAGCCTGAAATGTTAATTATGCAAGTCTCATCACTGAGCAGCCATTTTGAAATGCAAGTTTGCAGTGCACTAAAGCAGCTACTGAGGAGTTCGTATTTTCAACACTGGTATCTTGGACCATAAGTTCTCAGTATAAATGATAAGGAAAAGAAGTGTAATAGCTTAGAAGGGTGGAAGGGACCACAGTGGGTCATCTGGCCCAACCTTCCTGCAGGATCCCCTCCTCTTCCTAATGCATTTCCTTTTAGTGTAGCCCTGTTGGGTCTCTTCCAATCAGGACACCCTGATTCTTATATTTTTTTGTAGCAGGAAGGTGCACTCTGGTTTCATCCCAGCAAAACCCAGCCCATATTCACAGACCTAGAACAAATCTTGTGCAGAGAATGGCTGTAGTTGCTGTGAATGAATGTGAAACAGTTCCTCAGGAGCATTCATTGTAAAATGGAGAAGCATCTGGTTGGGAAGTACTTTTAAACACCTTTGTTTGCTCTGAACTGCTATGAGGAAAGTCAAGCAGATAGAATAACCAATATAATTATGTATAATAATTCAATATAATGTTATTTTGACTGCTCATTCTTCCCAAAGATGAAGCCGCTTTCCAGAGGGGTTTAATTTATTTTTCAGTAACAGAAAAGAATTGCAACATAGAAGTGCAAATAAAGCAAGCAGGAACACCAGAGAGGTGGCAGAGGATCCATCCTTCGGGTGTTTACAGGACTTGGCTGGACAGTCATGACTCACCAGATCTGGTGGTGAGTGGTAGGTTGGACTGAAGGTCTCCAAAAGTCCCTTTTGAGTAACGTTTCTGTGATTCTGTCAGTCCCACTGTGGAGCAGAACGAGGTGTCAGGGTTGATACCTGAAATGACAGGTCTCAACAAAGGCCTTGCAGTTCAGGGAGCTTTGCTGTTGGTATCAAACTCACTGCAAGCAGTAGATGGTCCTCACAGGTGGTTCAGAAGTCATGAGGTAATAGTGGAACTGTGAACTTGGATTTGAAGCAGAAGGTCATTTCTGCATCATCAGGCAGGTTTCTGTGTTATCTCTATGATGACACCATTCATGAAACCATATTAATACATGATTAGTGAGGATTTCAGTTGTAGATTTTCAGCCTTCTGTTGTAGTTCATAACCCCACAAGGTGTTTTTATCTTGCAGGTAAGAGTTTTAGTGTTAGCTGCAGGCTATACCATCCACTTTTGTTTCTGCACTGCTAGAGATTTTAATTGCACAATTACACATTGTTTTTGCACCAAAAAAACCCTGATGCAATCAGTGCACAAGATCTGCTGTGCTTGCTGAATGAGTCAGGTGTATATTATTCCTTTCACAGCCAGTATTCAGAATTGCCACGTAAAAATAAATGCCTAGAAAGGTGCATGTGCATTTATGTCTCAACACCAGAACACATCTCTGAGGTTCATACCTGAGTGTGGCTCCAGTAACTCACTCTGCCTTGCCATATGTTTTGGGGTTTTTTTTGGCCACTCAGTTTTTTACAACTCAGTGAGTAATTTGTCTCTCTGTTCACCTGTTTTGTGCAGTAATTAATGATGAGACCCAAACACTAATGAACTGCCCCCTGATCAATAATCAGAAGCGTTTTGTGTCTGCCAGAGCTTGTAGTGGCTGTTCCTCCAAAGTCTGATATTGCACCCCTGCCTCAGATTTATGGGAAAGATGTGCATCTGCTGAGGAACAGGTGTGTGTGTGCTCTGATCCTGTGAAAAATGGCAGGAATTCCAGGGGCATTTTCTATCAGGAGGTGGATTGCTGTGCATTAGCGGCAGGATAAGACACATCTTACTTGACAGAGCAAGAGAAATGCAAGTGGCAGTAGGCACTGAATTTCCATAATCCTTCTGAGCAGCTGTACA